AAGAAGAAGAAGAAGAAGAAGAAGAAGGAGAATAAGAATAAGAATAATAATAAGAAGAAGAAGAAAAAAATAAATCAAGAAGAAGAAGAAGAAGAAGAAGAAATCAACAAGAAGAAGAAGAAGAAGAAGAAATCAAGAAGAAGAAGAAGAAGAAGAAGAAATCAAGAAGAAGAAGAAAAAGAAGAAGATCAACAGAAAAAAAAACGAAAAAAAAAACGTCGCGCGTGCTGACGTGGCAGCCGCACAACGACGATCGGACTTCAGGAGGAGGAGGACATGGAGGTGTAGGGGGTGGAGGAGGAGAAGGAGGAGGAGGAGGGGGAGGAGGAGGAGGACGACCACGACGACGAGGAGGAGGAGGAAAAGAAGAAGAAGAAGAAGAAGAAGAAAAAGAAAAAGAAGAAGAAGATGAATAAAAAAAACGAAAAAAAATGGTCGCGCGTGATGACGAGGCAGCCGCGGGACGACGACAATACTTGACAAGGAGGAGGAGGAGGAGGAGGAGGAGGAGGAGGAAAAGAAGACGAAGAAGAAGGAGAAGAATGTCGACCGTGCTAACGTGGCAGCCGCGGGACGACGGTCGGAGTTGATGATGAGGAGGAGATGGAGGAGGTGGAGGAGGAGGAGGAGGAGGAGGAGGAGGAGGAGGAGGAGGACGAGGGGTCGCGGGGACTCACCTGACAGCGATGGGCACCGGACATGGCAACAGCTGGAGCGCGGGGCGATGCGAGGGCAGTTTCAAATGATTCGAATTCGAAACTGACCCTTCCCCCCCTGCTCCTCTCCCTGGAACCGATTGCCGCGCCCGCGCCCCCCCACAAGGACGACCACCGGCCCTCAGGCCCTCCTAACCCCCGCCGGCTACCGGTACCGGCCCGGGCGGAACCCGTTCGCGGGCCTCGAGAACACGTTCTCGCGAACGTGTTCTCGACTCGTTCACGCGAACGGGAGAACGAGTTCGCTCGAACGGGAAGGCCCGCGAACACGTTCGCCGTGCTACGCAGGTTTAACGTATAGATGGAGAGTTAGAATAAAAAACCTGAATATAGACGGATAGTTTGTCTGAAAAAAATAAATTTAGACAAAAATTATAATCGATAATGAAAAAAATAAAGAGAAATTCAAATTAATATTCCACTCAAAATACTTCATTTGAACTGAAACGACGTGGAAATTGCATTAAAGCATTCACATTTAGACGAAAAGCTTAACAAAAATTCCATACAAATTTTCAATATAAGGTTCTGGATTATATGCATGAGCAATGTTGGCATGATCTTGGGACTTTACTCTGCTCGTTATCTAACTGTAGTGCTAACCCTAGAGGCATCCATACAAACATTTCAACAAAATAACTACTTTTGATCACTGTAGCACATGAATCCAAAGATTACTTGTGATCATTTCAATAAAATAATTAATTCGATGGTCAATATCGGTACTCACTTTCACTTACACATATGTATCCAAAGATTTGCATACACTAACATATTTATTTATTTATTTACTTATCCGGCTGTGCGAGGACCAAAGAAAGTCCCCCAAAAAATAATAATTAAAAAAATCAGTAAATATTAAGAAAAAAATGTTATGCAACAAAAAAACTAAAAAACTTCTGTCTTTTTTATGTTTTTTTTTTTTTTCATAATGAAAATGGTATATTCAATTGCCAAAGGAATCAATGAGGTCGTGGTCCTCATAGTCTACCTGAAAACAGTAATTTATGGGAGCATTACCTAGTTTTGCTTACGAGAGAAGTGCGTTAGAGGATCGATTATTTGAGAAACAATATTTACATACCAACCGGTCTAAATGACCATTGCAAGTGAAACTCACATCAAGAACACAAGTCCGGGTTTTAATCCAAATTCAAGTTCCCGACCAACTCAAAAATAGAAAATAAAAATAAAAATAATTTTTCATTCGTATTTTAAAAACCATTATGGTCCGGGAACATAGGTGGTGCTGGGCCACTTTGGTAGCCTAGGTACATGCCATTCACACACACACAAGGACACAATCCTACATTCACCAACATTCACCCACATTCAGTTGTATTCACCCACATTCACACACACACTCATACACACACTGTCGGAGGGCATCGTATCCTGGATCTCCACTGCGTTGCATGCGTCTGCTCACTTATCTCTGCCAGACGTCCGCTCACTTGACTCGGTTGTATACTAGATGTCTTCTCACATACCTTCGTTGTGTACCAGTCGCCTGCCCAGGAAACCCTGTGGTCTACCAAGCTCTCCACGATGTACCTGGCAGACTCGACTAGGTTGAATTTGTTATGGACCGGTCCAGTCGGCACTTGCCCTGGTAAAAGGGTGGGTGCGCCACTGGGCTTTCCATTGGTCCATGCAGGCTCGGCGCCCTGCTATACAGCGGAGCACTACCGGCATGTGGCCGTGGTAGTCGTCGGGCTCATCAAGGGATGAGGAGGGAAAGTGACCAGCGTGCTCTTTTCTACAGTGCGCCAAGTGCCCTCTAACCGGGTTATGGGATGAGTGCAAAGGGCAGTCATGATCAAAGTAAGAAGAAACAAAGGAGCCAGAAAAAAAACGGAAAATAAAAAACGGGGAAAGTCGCACGTCGGATCTGCACCCCGATTTAGTTAGCCGTTTTCGTGTGGGGTGAACTAGAGGTCCTAAGTTGTAGTGTCGTTATGTCTTAT